CATCGTTTCTAACACTTTTCAGGTCCGTGGGTAGATGTTCGTAGAATCGGGGACCTATTACCCGCGGATTTCTAGTTGCCAGTTCGGTACGGTGGGCAACGGATTTTAGTGTTCCTGCGTTTCGTAACGCTCGGCCTCCGCCCGTACGTCGCTCATAAGTGGCCAAGTTTTGACGCGCATAAACTATTATATCATAAATATATTGTGAGTACATGGTCATTATATTGTATTTCTTAAAAAGGTTTCTGCAGGTCTGACCCTTTTTTATGCCTACTATTGTTCTTAGTGCACGTTTTTGAAGAATAAATACCCTAATCGACTCAGTTGAATTACCCCACAGTGTGATGCCATGAGACATCAACGAATGAAAATATGCATAATACGTCTGCCTCAATACCACATTGGAGACAAGAGGACGCAGTTTCCTCAGTGCGTATGCAGCACTTCCAAGTTTTTGACATAGAGTTTGTATATGTGACTTCCAGTTCAAATTTGAGTCTAGCGTTAAACCCAAGAATTTACAGGTGTTACATAATGGAACAATGGAGGTGATAATTGGCTTTGTTATAGAATTTCTTCCTGAGAACAACATAAGGTTTGACTTCGATTCGTTAAGAATAAGTCCATTCGCAGAGAACCACTCACACAGCTGCTCATACGTGCAGGCTAATTTTTCTTCCAACTCGTTGTAGGTTTTAGCACACACTATAACGGTTGTATCGTCCGCAAATAGAACCACAAGACCCCCTGATATAAAGTATGGCAGATCATTGATGAATGCCAGGAATAGTGTATTACCTAGGGCGGATCCTTGTGGGATGCCAATGGTGACGTCACCAGCCGCTGACCTAGTTGTTGTACCGTTTGTACTGACCTGAACCGTTTGCCGTCTGTTTGATAAAAAAGACTTTAATAGGTTATGGGCGACTCCGTTGACGCCATACACAGCTAACTTTTGAATTAATAAATCATTTTCAATTACATCGAACGCCTTTGTTAGGTCACAATAAATGCCTGCAGTTTTATACTTATCATCTGCAACCTGCTACTATATTTTGTGCTGCAACTACGGTGGATTTACCTTTCCTATAAGCATATTGTCTATCTGATAACAAATCGTTCATTTCGAAATGATCCATAATACTTGTTGATATAATAGATTCTATTATTTTTGATATATTCGGAACTATGGTTATCGGTCTGTGGCTTTCAACATGGGTCACGTCCCCCTTAATAAAAGTAAGTAAGTAATTTATTTGCACATAAAAACAAAAACAGACATAGAAGTGAGATATATTATATTCCACATTATGGAATAAGTATGTTATAAGTATTATGTACTTTAAAACTTTTCCTAAGCCGGTTACGCGCTGAAAATCAAATGATACGTCAAATCACTTCACTCCAATCTGCTTCAATGCAACTGAATGACTAAAAACTACTTAAAAAACCATCGTATTTGCTCTCCAACAAAAAATACTTCTGCACTCAGTTAAATTGCTTACAAAATGTTCTTATGTTTATTGTCTGGTATAATTTTGATACAAAACTTTGACAAAATACAAAGTAAAGTTGGTTTTAGTTTTTCGAGATTTGTTGTGGACTTCAGTAAAAAATAGTAAACCGCACCCACTCACACACAGTTCACAGTCAATCCGGAGGCTGTTGTATTCCTCAGATTGCAATTCTATTTTGCAGAGCGTATTTTGGGTGTAAGTGCCTAAGTACCTAAATTCATTTGTAACGGACCTAGTCATTTTTAGGTATAGTGTTATTAATTAGCATTCCAAAATGTGTGGTGCTCTCTGTATACGTATGAGTGATTGATTAACAGTCTCACTGTTCGGCTACACTCCCACCCGATTCGTTTGTTGCATTTATAAAAATAATAAAATCTATTTTGTATCAAAACCAGCAAAACTCAGGTCAGAAATTTTATTAAGAGTGATAGCATCATGAAACAAAAGTATAAAAGAAACATAAAGCTTACAACCAGTGATACATACATCAATACTCCGTCTTAATATTAGCTGCATAGCGTTAAACAAGAACTATATTATATAAGTAACTAATGTTTTTTATTTTAGTCTTCATTTAATTTTAGGACTTTGGTTCTAGAGAACATGCCAGCCCTATCGTACGTTATTCTAATTGTCATGCAATTTAATATAACTAATGTTCATGTTTGCTAAGAGGCAGTGACTTAAGATATCTGCTAATAAGTTATTAGTCGGCTCATATAACAACTCAATACCTTCGTCTGAAACTTATTCTATGTAGTGAAATTGAAGGACAATGTGTTAGTACATTTGAATCGGATACAGTTATAGGTAAATTTTTGTGCCGATTATAGTTATCGTTGTGACCGTCAGGATGGTTCATCGCCTGTGGCGTCTGGCACTGAGTGTATATTCAAGAATTGCTACCTATTTGCTATCTCTTCTAAATAATTGCTACCTTTGATATATTCCGAGAAATTTAAAAAAATAATTGACCAGCCATTCTGATAGCAGGATGTCTGGTCGCCGCTTTGTTCAGCGTGAAGGGAGCAGATTTTCCAGAAGTATGTATTATCAATAATTGCTACCTATTTGCTACTCTCACGAATTAAAAGTATACGCTTCCTATCTATGGTAGTTAAAAAAATATAAACGATTGAAAATTTTACGAAGAAGTGCCAACGCCTAAATTACATATATATAAATATAAGGCAATAAAGCACTAAAAGCATTTCTTTTTTAATTTAATCAGGCACTTCTTCGTAAAATTTTCAATCGGTTATATTTTTTTAACTAATGTAGATACGAAGCGTATACTTTTAATTCATGAAAGTAGCAAGTAGGTAGCAATTATTGGTCATACATACTTCTGGAAAAGCTGCTCCCTTCATGCTGAATAAAGTGGCGACCAGCCATCCTGATATCAGAATGGCTGGTCAATTATTTTCTTTAATTTCACAGAATATATCAAAGGTAGCAATATTTAGAAAAGGTCGCAAATAGTAGCAAATACGTAGCAATTCTTGAATATACAATCAGTGTCAGATGCCACAGGCGACCAGCTATGCTGACGGTCACGCTATCGTTACATACGCGACAAAATGTAGTCTGACCAAATAATTCACGCGAAAGTGCCCGCAAGTCGATAGCTTCCTCGGCCGTTTTTTTTAACGTCACGTACTCCGCCTTGGTGGATGAGAGTGCCACGTAAGTTTGCTTATAGCAACTCCAAGACACGGTGTCACCGCCGTAAATACGTAACCAGTTGTCATCGTTTGAAGTTACCGTTAACGTGTTATCCAGTTTGAGTTAGGCCAAGTTAGTAGCGGCCGCTGAGGCAGTGAAATTTGAGTCTGACTCTGTAACGGCGAGGATGGCTGCCCACTTCGGGTTGCGATATTAAGTACCTTGGGATTAGGATTCAATTCAAGGAACGTTGCTATTGGGAGCGCTGGTCAAATGAGGAAGAGCCGAAAGTAAGTGTAGCTTCTCTCAAAAGTGCAAATGTTTGGGCTAGACGGTTTGGTCTTAATGTTGGTCTCAATGACTTAATTGCATACATCGCACATGAAACCAAATACCTATTGTCGTAACTCAGAAATAATGGAATTGAGAAAACACGATTTGAAAGTTCCAATAAGTACTATATGGAACCAATAAATTTATATTCTCGTTTGTAAGTAGATAACTAATTTATACGCTTAAATAAGAATAATCCCATTATTCGCAATAACATTCGTTCAGTATTTTGCTCGGACGCTTCACAGTCCCCACGGGCACGGCTGGCTGAGGTGGTACTGGCCGGGTACGGTTTATCCGATATAACAAATTCCTATCTAATACACGGTGGTATAATATAATTTTTATATAAACATTTTATAAACACCAGCCCCCGTAGCATGGCTACGCATGATAGTCGCGACGCGCGGGATAAACTTGGAATAAGCGCGCGCTATTGGCTGTCTCAATCAGATCTAATTTATGTAGCCAATATCGCGTGCTTATTTCAATTTAAAAGCGCGAGTCGCGACTTTCTGCGTAGCCATGCTACGGGGCAGACGTAACTTTCGTTGGTTATAATGTTTATTGAATATGATCCCAGTGTCTGATTTGGGTGCGACGACGAACGCAGCGAAGAGAATTATCAACTCGTATGCACAAATGATATTAATCTTATAGAACTAATACTTCTTCTAGGACATTTTTGATAAGCGATAAATAATATTGTCGTAAAAAATTTAATCAATATACATTGTATTAAATATAAACTATGTTCGCTAGGAGGTATAATTGCCAATTTGTCCACTTAGGCGCTTCAACTACATACATATTTGCTAATGTTCTATGTACTAAATTTTGTATTATATTTGTTTCTTTTTATAATATAATATCAAGTGACGGGACGAACAAGTCGTTCGCCTGATGGTAAGTTACACGCCTGTACATAACAGTTGCAGTGCCGCCAGACCTGCGGGGTTCTACCACAGAGTTCGTCGTCACCCTGAGACATGCAGTTGACAAGTCCCAAGTGCCCGTAGTTTCACCGGCGCCGGCGCCCCTGCCTTTTAAAACCGGAACGCAATAATGCTCACATTAACTGCTTAGCGATAGAAATAGGTATGATGGCAGTACTTCCCCAGTCGAACTCTCTCTCTCTCCAACCACGGAATATAAAACCATGAAATAGGGGTATATTTATTATCTGTGTTGAGTACGAGTACTTATACGGCCAAAACTGTTTGTTTTAGCTACTTATAAAATAGTGTCCCCATACAAGCATTTGTTCGGAAACTAAGGTTTTTGAACCCTCAAGTAGAGTGTCTGCGGAAGGCCAAACCCGATACTGTGGGTGACGGTCGGGGTACGCTCAAAATAAATGCACTGACATGATTTACAGCACGAGTTAAGGAATTCATCGTGACTGCACTTAGATATCTACTAACAATGAACGTTTGCTTATTGTGTTAGGAGATGAAAAGAACTTTTATGGTGGTGATGCAGGTGCTGTACTACACGTGGAAGCTGTGCTCGGTGGTATTTTCGCACTTCGTAATGATCAGCCTCGTGGTAGCGTACTGCATTCTCGGCGCCGTTACGTTTGAGAAGCTCGAAGCCGCCTACGAAAGAGAGGTCGGTCTGCCTTCTACATTGCCTTCACTTTCCTTTCGTTCTTATTTTTAATGATATATTATTTGAGCAGTAATAATTATCAGCCAAGTATCTTCCTACCAGTGGGGTGTGTGTATGTGAACTATATATATATATATATATATATATATATATATATATATATATATATATATATATATACATAGTAATGTATTTTATATATATATATAAAATACATTACTATACTATATTATGTACATAATATAGTACAAAGTCTACGCTTCAGAACTAGAACTACACGAAACACTAATAAATATATGACTTTTTATTGATCAATTCATAAGAACGAAAGTTCTCTCGTTATGTGTAATCTTTGGCTCTTCACTGTACGAGAAGATTAACGTAACTTGTTTGTAGGTGAAGATGAACGTATCGATGCTGCGCGCGAACACAACCGACAGCATCTGGCGCATGACAAATCACACGCTGGTGCTCGAGCACGTCAACTGGACGCGCGACGTCGCCACCATGCTCAAGGTACTATTATTCAGTGGCCTTTCTGCATTTACGCCCTAATCATACAACAACATCATCTCCGCTCAAGTTGTGAGTGGTGGGTGCAACGGTGCAACTCATTATTTGTGCTCTACAACAATTCTCTGAATTGAACTTAAAACCTCTTTAATTGATAGGCAACTGAGTTATTAGTTCATTTTTAAACTCTGTTTTGTGAAGAAAAGAGACAAGAAATTTAAAATGTTGGTCTGTTAATACCGAAACAAAATAGATGTCTACGTAACAGCGACCCTTCGGTGCTACTAATAATACTAAAACTAATTGTAAATCGTATATTATTGGATAATAAGTACGACTTGAACAAGGCACCTGGTATTGTGCGGGCAGGACTTTGAGAACTCGATCCTGTACGAGATGAAGGTTCGCGGATGGGACGGCAATGAGGCTCCCAACCAGATCCAATGGACCTTCACCGGTGCGCTCTTCTACTCCATCATCGTTATCACCACCATCGGTGAGTGTCCTTCGCCTGACGGAATATTTTGCCCGCTACTTCTGTTACACAATTTTATCACAGTCCGTTCTTCAGCTATGGTAAGTGTAGCTACACGAAGTCTTGATTATTTCTGCATTACCAAAGTCATCAATGTGATAGATCAAAGTTTCCATTTTCTGCAATGTGTACGATTTGTTGTACTTACATGTTTTACTACAATAAAATTATAATATCTTTACGAAGCCAATAATCTATATGAATTCAGAATTCATGACTCTACCAAACGCTTGTGAGTGCGGCTGGCGCTGGCGCCTCGCCAACTCTTTTCTATTCGTCATTAGGGTTCCGTAGTCAAACTAGGCGCTTTTATCATTTCGTGGCGTCGGTCTGTATAGTACGGTCTTTTTATCTACCGTCATTGAATTCGGTTTAGGAAAACAAAAAAGTTTGAATGAAACTCGAAAACAATACATCTTCCAAATTCTGTTAGCCTCTTCACTACTAAAGTAGCGTTATAATTAATTAATCCGGATTATACCTATGTACTAATTAATTACTAACATTATCAAGAAAAATTGTAACGAACAAACCTTCGTTTTTATAAGATCGAAAAAGTTATTATTGAATTTAAACCAAAGTTAAAACAGAATGTAATTTATTACATGATGTTACCGAATTACTACGAGCGCGGCCAGCTCGCTCTTGGAAGTTTATTTCAATTTATTTTGACTACTGTTCGACAGATTCGCGACACGACACTCGCATCATTCATTTCATGAACCACAATGCGGCGGAGATTAGTATACTTCAATTATTACATGCAAATACAATAATATTTTACACGTATTTTACCATTATTACATCTGGTTTCCTCGTCTGCTTCGCTTTATTTATGACAACTAGCATTTCCTTCTTGATTCTGAAATAAAATACACCACAACAAAACTAAGTTAAAGTGAAACTAACCGTAACGCTGAATTGACGACTGCAAAAAACGTACAGAAGATCTGCGAGTAACAGACGCAAATTTGTAATTTTAGTCACTCTTACGCACTGCACGTCGTCTCCAGTAGTTTCTAGTAGCACCGAAGTCGACGTGGCGCCGCGCGGAAGTACACGGGCGTGGTAGAGCTGATGGTATTGAGCAGCTTGGCGTAGCCGCCGGCAGGCGGGTGGTGGTGGCACGGCGGGGCACCGCCGCCGCCAGCGCAGACAACACGCGTGGGCGGCAGGTGCGCCGCACGTCGCGTGCGCATTTGGTTCCGGCGTCGGTACTTTTTCTGGGTTTTTGAATGTTCCTTCGGCTTATGGCGACCGTAGTCTGCAAACATATTGAAACTTGTGAGGTGATTAAAAAGAGGAATTAATTTAGGCAAACCGGATTCCCGATCGTACAGACGTGTGGTTACAATACTTACTTGGTGAGAGACGGCTATTCATTGTATTGATGTGATGAGAGCAGAATAAAATCACATGAATTCTTCAGAGAGATCACGTTTATTACGAACAAAAACCCTAAAGAGGGTGCAAGTGCCTACACTAATTAGTTCTACTACTACAAGAACATGTACTAAAATCAACAATCGTCTTGAATTTATAGTTGAAAACTTCTCAAACTTTTCAATTTTTTTTAAAGGAAAATACTAAGAAGTGTTCAACTCTACGTGGACGAATGAGCGCACAGCTTCAACAGCTTTTGCTACAGGCAGGGTTCGTTCGATATATTCTCGTCCATAAAAAATGTCGTTGATGTCTTTTACAGATACTGAAATACACTTAAGGTTCTTCCAATAAAAAATATTAAACTGAGCGATACGACCGCTCCTAAGTTTAGTAACAATTTAAAATTAATGAAAATGTCATAACTTTGTGTTTCGCTTACTAATTTAGTCATTCTCTTTTTACATTCATTGTGCGGAGAACAATGCGAACAATTAACGAAGTCCCGCGAATTAGTTGATAGTATTACAAGCGACGAGTTAGCGTTCCAATTATTATGTTAATCATACATTAGTTAGCGAAGTGCCAAAATATTTACGTTCAGCGCGCAGGCGCAGGTCCACAGTCTGAATGTAAACAGTGCGTGGCCACCGAACGCGGACACTCAATTACCATTATTATTAGTCATCACACACAGCACTCTATGCGCACAACGGGCGCTTAGTTACCAAAGTATCCGCGGGGGCCAATCTGGCCTGTGGGCCCGCCAGGACCCACCAGCAGCCGACGGCCGGGCCCTATAATGCCAGTGGGGCCGCCTGGGCCGACTAGCACGCCAGGTCCCTGCGTACGCATGTATCCCGTTCCAAAGCCGCTTGCTCGAACCGGTCCCATCAAGACACCGTGCTGATGGTTGCGCCCGTAAGGTCCAATGACCCCCGTAGGTCCTCCGGGACCTACTAGAATCCCTCGCTGCGCAGAAGCGCTGAGTCCACTGTCCCTCCTCGGATCGCCAACTGGCGCCGGCCCGATTACGCCGGTAGGTCCACCAGGGCCGACCAACACGCCGTTGTTCTTTTGCGGACCGGTTTTTCCAGTGCGTCCCGGCCCGAAGATAATAGGTCTCTTGCGGTCCGATATGTCCAAATTAACATCGAACAGCTCGTCGCCCGTGCTAGTGGACTGGTACGTGCCCAGTATCATGGTCTCGTGACCGTGCCCCGGACCGAATTCATTGTGCGGCATCGAGTTCGGCGGCGCCGGGAACGGGCCCGCCACCTCTTCTTGGCTCGGGAACAACATGGGGCGCTCATCGTCAATTTCATTGAAGAATTCTGCAAATTTTAAAAATAAATCTTAAAGTGACGCACCCAAGAGAACTTTAAGTTTTTCAGCAGCTACCACTTCACAAGTAGATTGTAATATAAAGTCACCTGTATTTTGTTGATTCTCTTTATTTGGTCGTTTGTAGCAGCAGAGGTACCTGCCGGCGCCACAGGCTTCCTGAAATATGATATAACCAAGTTAAGTTTCCCTGTCGATTTGACCCAAACACAGACACATGTAACCAATTAGCTTACGTTGGAATCACGGCGTGGGCTGCACTCCGGGGTGGAAACGCATTTGCAAAATAGAGGAGAGTTCATCGTTTCGTCTTTCTCGGGATACGGGCTGGAATGAAAGCACGGTTGCATGAATGGGGTGATCCTTCACAGGTACCGTAGCGGACTATGAGCTAGCTGTATGAAGATAGCACATACCGGTCGTGCACATGGTACATGGCTTGCGCATTGACGGGATAGGGTGTGCGGTAGGCGTCCACGGAGCGCACTGGAAAGCGGCCGTCGCCGGGGGGCCTATTGTAGAAACCGTTTGTCTCGGTGGCCTCCTTAAAGGGCGCGTCCGCGTGTGGATTCGCCTTGCCGTTCGCTAGGCCGCTTCTGCAAAACAACACCTTATGGGAACATCTACTACGTCGTGAACTTGTTATATTATTTTCCGTTCCTCAAAGAAATGAATAACGATTCGCCGCAAAGAGTACTTTTTCTTTGTTTTTTAAACTGAACATTTGGTCGCGCGCCAAAGTCAGTCAAACAATTCGTGAATGCTTAAATGTATATGTTGTTAATGTTATACATATGGAAGGTTTATTGTAGCTGTATAATAACATAACAGACGGATGTACTGACGAGGCCATGACGACATTTTAGATAATATTTCTTTATAATTATACGATAAGGATAGGGTGGTTTGCAATAGTCTTTGTCCGTCGACGCGTACGACTATCCAATAGACACGTAACACGTGTACAATTAATTTGCTTAGTGAATTAGATCAGAATTCAGGCCAGTTAAGCAACACCAATACAACAATAATGTTGCAGTCTGAACACCCAGACTAAGTGTTACTCAAGCCATTCGGAAACGGTGACGCAAACCCATTCTGGTGTCATGTCTTAACAAGTGAGGTGTGAGATAATGGAGGTTCATATCGCTACAATGGGCTGCGGCGGCTCGAGCGCAATCGCGGCCAAGGCGCCGAAACCTGCCCACCCGGAACGTTGCATCGCATGCTGCGCCTTACGTGCGTCAGCTAATTTCACTATGTTGTATTTATTAGCTTCGGCTGTTGTTAGTGACTTTGCTTCATCTGCCGTCATGCAATGACGACCATAATTACTCCCGGCGAATCCGAAGGTACTACTGACTCACTCATTCTTAGATCATCAACGCGATCATTGTGAACTAATTATCCCACTTTGGTAAGCGAGTTGGTTCATATACAGATATACTGAGTGCAGAATAGCACGTATGACTTAGCATAAATAAGCCACGTAGCAGGGCGAGGCTTGATATGTGAACGATTAATATAATAAGGAGATCGACATGCCACAAACGGATGCGGAAGGAGTCTAGTCTTAGTCTAGCGGACCACTTGCATCGGGGCTGCGAGCGGTATACAGAGTAGAAGGGTTTTTTACATGTGAACGGAGGCAGTGACTGACTTGTCGGACGAGGCGCGGTTGGCCGCAGTGGACGCGTCCAGGAACTGCACCTTGGTGTCGATACGGACGTCCTGTCCCTCAGGCCATCGCCATCGGCCCCCGTCGCCCACGGCGCTGTGCACGCCTCCCGCTGTCACCGCACCCGCTAAAGTGCACATCGCCCACCATATATGCATACCTAGAATTAAATACAATCTTATATGATGTTCCTGGTCTATTCGTCACGCGTGACAATAAGTTATGGAATTTGAAGTGAGCCTGAATCACTGCGTTTAAGAAGTTCTCTCCCGTTCAAAATGTACTATTCTAGTTTCAGACGATATAGGAATGAGCAAAATAAATCAATAAATGAATAATTATGAATTTTCGGCTCGTAATGATTTCCTTTGCGTGCATGTTTTGAGGATAGATACACATTACGTAATGTTTATTCATTCGTGCGATCGTAATTATTGGTATAATTTGATAGCGAAGGTCGATGGCGGGTTTTTTGCCCACGACTGTTCAAAGGTAGAGCTTCAAACTTCCGTCGACGCCGGCGCAGTTGCAGCGGGGCAGCGCGGAATAGCATGACATCAGGTGATTGGAGAAACAATGGCCGCGTTATTATTATGAAACGAGATGTCGGAGTTCGCTTGACTCATGAACCAAAACACCGGCCTGGCACTCCTGACGCGCGCGGCGCCCTTTCACCCCTCTATGCTAATGCACTTGCTAATATATTTAATAAATACGAAAACAAAATTAACAACAAGGAAGGGCAAAATGGACATGGACTTAGGAATGGAGTAGGAATAATCAACTAATATGCCATTGTAACAAAATGCAACAAATTGCAATGCTTGTGTGGTGTGTGGGCTGGTCCATTGGCGGCGACCGTGGTGTATCTATTAGAGTTAGTGTTGTGTTTTATGGTAAGTCGTCCTGTGGGCGGGCGGTACACTTGTGCAACGGCGCCGTATCTCAAGGCTGTGGTTGCCTCAACAACGCCTTTTGGAGCCGCAAGTGTCCGCACCCACTTTGCTACTGATTTTATTATAAATAGGTTAACATTTTGCAATGGCTACTAACAGTAAATACTAATATAGCAGTTTGCTGTTTCCTTTCTTTTTATTTCAAATCATTTAAAAGCACCTTTTTTGTAAATTTTACCACCGCCATGCGCCGGTCACATTAAAACAACATTGATCAATTAGCTAAATTGCTCATTATTGTTCACTATCACAACTCACACACGGGAAACATCAAAGTTGTGTACTAACACTAAGTGCTTATATTACTTACACGTAGATTTTATCTGAAATAAATGTTTTGAGTTATTTCTGTTTCATCTAAGCACCAAATGTGTAAGTGGAGTTGCAATTTAACAAAGGTACATTTAAAAATATTTGCCAATACTCACTGATTTTTGTCCACGACGTTACAGGTCAAATTCGGCATAAACAAAGTATCCACGCATTTATCACTTGCAAATTACAAGTAATTTTGTTTAAGTGACAGGCATATAATAATTTATTAAAATTAATCAGAATGCGGGGCGATTGTCCGGCGAGCCCTCTGTTAAGCGAGTGTGGCGGTACGATTGCGTCTGCGCCGCCCCGTCGGCGTCGTTGTTTGCCTGTCGCGTGGTGTGCTGTGAGCCTGGGCAGCGGTCACGACGCGGCTGCGGTATCTCGGGGACTGCTCGCTAAGACTCGTATTTTATTTACACGTCTATTTTCATAGCTTCAGCATTTGTTATCGAAACGCCGTTAATGTTTTAACCGCCTCCGTGGCCGACCGGTTACCATACCGGTCTACCACGCAGCGGTCCCAGATTCGATTCCCGGGCCGCGACAAATATTTGTATGACCTATATTTATTTATCTCGCGAGTTTGGGTGTAATTTGTGGTTGTCTATATGTGTCCATGGCACCTTAGACACAGAGATTCCCAAGTGCGGGGTTATATTGAGTGTGTGCGTTATTACTATTATGATTAACTTAATCTCGGGCGCAAAATAATTGAAATCGAAACTGTCGATATTTAGGTTCTGTAAACATGTTTAGCAACCCTAACTTATAGGGTCATTCATTTGTTAATACATAAAAGACGCAATGCCTTAATGGCCTGTTGTTCGCGACATTCCACTTCTTCGTCTTTTCTTTGTGACTAATGGCTGAACAGCTTTAAAGCACAAGTTCGATCGACCGTTGAGACGGCTTAGCGGCGGCCAGTTAGCTGCCTTGGACTCGGTGGGGCGAAAAGCAAAGAGACTTATTAACAACAATTCTCTTGTGGAGTCGAAGCTACAAAATCTCGACAATCGCAGAAAAGTAGCCTGCTTGTCAGTTTTCTATCGGATACTTTTCGGGGAGTGTGCGTAGGATCTTTTCAATTTGGTTCCACCCTCAGCGTTCCTCCTTCAGCCGACTAGAAAGTCCGGAACACTCCATCCTTATGCCGTTGATATTCCACCTATTCGCACTAAACCCTTTGCTTCCTCCTTTCTGATTCATGCGACAAAGGAATGGAATGTTTTACCGGCATCTGTATTTCCCGAAAAGTACAATTTGGGGCTATTCAAGTCTAGAGTGAATAGACATTTTTTTAGGCAAACGCGTTCCATCGTCGGTCACATCATCGGTTAACATCGGGTGAGGTTGTGGCCAAGCGTGTGTCCATTATTTGTAAAAAAAAAACTATATTTAAGACAATTTTGAACTTCTAAAATCACCAATTGTTGTTAAAATAACGGTTTAATAGAATAAAATAGAATAAGCTTATTAGCCAGAGTACAGTAAAAGCAGACACATTGTATTCAACCTACAAACAGGTGTGCAAAACATTGTCGGAATTTCAAATGTGGTGGAATTGTTATTCTATTTTTCTTTTCTATAACATCAAGTGACGGGACGAACAAGCCGTGGGCCTGATGGTAAACTACACGCATGGCCACAACAGTTGCAGTGCCACTCAGAGTTTTAGATTGCAAAGATCTGAGGGGCACTACCACTGCGCCCGTCACCCTGAGGCATACATAAGTTGACATGTCCCATGTGCTCGTAATTTCATCAGCACCCTTATCCTTGAAAACTGAAACGCAGTAATGTTAGCATTACTGCTTGGCGGCAGAAATAGGTAAGGTGGCAGTACTTCCCAGGACTTCCCACTGCTACTAAGATTAAATTAGTAAATGAAATTAGTATTTGTATACATATTTTTTATGAATACAAAAGCAATGTGCCAAAAACCATTTTGTCAACGGAATTAAAAAAGTAGTTGTGCGTAGCAATGGGACTCTAGATTGATAGCGATTTTGATATAATCAAGATTATGGTCATAAACAGAAACTGTATTAAATTCCAGACAACCAACGCAAATAGACAAACAATTCAGACCAAAGAAACTGTATGTAAATTATCACATTGATAAGCTGGTTATAAAATAACAGCTTCCCCAATGCCTTGACGAAATTGTATTTCTTTAAATTCACTTAGGGTCGTATTCTAGAACTCTATTCAATGCTCAAGTCAGGATTGCACTGGCAACACAAGCACTGGAAATACGACCCTAATGGCAGGGACTTGAGTATGATTTCGAGTGCTTTAAACCATACTCAAATCCTGACTTGAGCATTGAGTAGAGTTCTAGAATACGACCCTTAGACGTGCCAAATGAAAACACTAACTTTAATGGCGGTCATTTAAAGGTTTACTTTACCTCCCGAAATCGTCGTTGAATGTACGAGTTATATTTTTTAATTTTGCGTTACGACAGAGTCATTACCAAAGTTCTACCTACACGTGATAAATAAGAAAATAAATTGTATTGGTTATTCTCTTAAACATAATCCTGTAAATAAATGTTTAAACGCAATAAATTCATGTTTTCTAATCTATTCTATATCTTATTGGAAGATATATTTAGAAATCTTATACAGGTACATATATTTCGTCCTGCAAATCACGTTTTATTCTTTATTTGGTTTACCTTCACACGTTCCTGCAAACATGACTAGTGTCCCAGGACGCTACCCAGTAGTACCTCTACTAACAATTTTAGGATTAGGGGAGTACATGATGTCTGCTCTTGATTTCGAATACATCTGGTTGATGCGAGTTATTTGTTGTTTACTTTTAATTTACGATTCTATAAGGCGTTATAGAATCGTATATTAAAAGTTACACTACCTCCTACTGCGCAAATGCAAGTTTCTGACGGAAAATATTACATAAATTAAAAGAAAAACATTTTGTCGACTGCATTTTTATGAATCAATTATGGAGGGTATATAATTTAAGACAGCCAGTATGTTGTTTTATCTCTTCTAAAACTTCATGACTATTCTTTGAAATCACTTAGTAAAGGGTAAATATACGAATTAGTGCCAAATGTCCACAAAAATAATTTTCGCTGTATGTTTTCTTAAACTTTGGCTTAACAATCGTAATGTTCAATTTATCGAGGAAGCAAAAGTTACTACCTACATTTTACTACCTTAGTGCTTATTATGTTATGTTTATTATATTTGTTACATGTATTCCGTGCCATGTTTGTTGAATTGAGTGCATACAAACCTGTTATTTTTGGCGAGGTTGTTGGGGGCATAATAAGTGAATCAAAATTGTGATGATTATCTGTCCTGTGGTGGTTAGCACCCCGATGCGCCTTTTTCATTGGCATTAAAGTGATTTAATGTCTCTGCTGTCAATTTGGTGACGTTTGTCGTTTTTGTACGTGGTCTGTAATATACTTATATTTCGTAGGAACGTTATAATTGATTAGATGATTACCTACCACGCCGCTGTTATTTTTTTACTTATAAGGATGATTATGTCAATACGTGCACAAAATTTTAAGACGTACTCCACTACAAGAGGGTCAAAGATAACTTGTAGCCTGGCCCACCAGCAAAGCGCCTAGTTATGAACCTACTACATTTTCAGGGATGTATGTGACACGGAGAAAAAATACTTTAAATATTGGAGATAATTTACTTCTTGGAGACATTATTTTGATTTTTATAAGTAGGTAAGTAATATTGCATTCAAAGATTTTTAGAAGTAGCTTGCCTCATCTGGGAATCCAACCGACCAAATGTAAAAAAAAAACATTATTATTATCGTAAATTATTATGCGCCGATCGAAAGGATCAATCATAAGGATAAATTGCTATAGTCAAATGTATCGGATGAATTAGTTTCTGGAATTACATACTCTTTGATCTCCGAAGTCCCATCTTTTCGCTCCGTCTCGTACTCGAGCGAGAGGCGTTCAAACGGTGACTTTTTTACACAAAATAAATAAAAGATGTTTATAGAAATTGGAAAAAAATAATCTCAACTATTATTGGACAGCTCGAAAATTATTTATATTTTCAATTAATTCAATGTTGTTGTACAAACTGAATTTTTTTTTAACTTTATAACATCAGGCCTTGACCGACAGAAGCACCGACCGCTTGTCGAGCTCATTACTATTTTGTATTTAGGCACACGGATTATTTCATACGCACACACGCGTAGGGGCTCAGACAGCAGATTGTACCTTTGGTATGGATTCAAGCGCGCCAAGCTCGCTTGTATCTCGCGCGGATTTAAAATCGTCTATAACTAACAATTTTTTAAACGATGTTGTATTACAATGACCACATAACTTTTCTTCGCTCGGAATTGGGTCTATCCATTAATCTGTTTTTTATTTGCTTTTTAAGAGCATTAATATATCGGCTGCTCGACCGACGCGCGTTGTAAGTACTACCTGGTCAGGAATATTTGCTCAAATCGTGCCAAGGTTTTTGTAATGCATACGAGCGACTGTAGCGCGTCTATATCATCGTATAGTGAGTATGTGCGTGTGTGCAAAGGTGCAACTGAATCTCGTTAATCGCGTGTGCATAGGCTCTTACGTTGACGCATGTCATTACTTGCGCAGCGCAATTTACGGCTATATAAGATTTTTAATAACGCCCACAAACGCCCCGACAAGCCTAGTAAGTGACTTTGAGACACTGTTCGAACTTTATAATTTGTCTAGTCTAGTATTACGTTACGCATGTTTTAGATAAATGTACACAGAACATGACTTTTACCAAATAAACTCATTGCTGCTCGGACTAACGCCAAGTACGATGCGAGGTAGTGCAGAGAATGCAGCGCTCATTTTGCACCGGGAAAGTCCAAAGGCCGCTGCCGCTGGAGCCGGGGCAAGGCGGTGCGCGATGACGTCTGCGCCGCCTGATCGCCATTGTCTCTGCGGTGTCGGCGCCCGCGGCAATTGTGGAAGGCCACTCCGCGTAAGGTGTTCATCACTATTAGTGTAATTGGTCAATTACAACACTAGAGATTTTATTACCTTGAAAGAGTCCTCAGCGTCTACATTATTCCAAGCAATGGTACTATCCAAACAATTTTTTGAAACATTACAGTGTGTGAATATATATTTTAACAACTTGTCACAACAACAACTGTTATATTTCGGTACAATGTTGCCACAACGGAACATTTAATCGTTATCATAATTGTTTTCTTAGTAGCCGCAGCTGAACTGTATTGGCAAAGTGGTCCTGACTGATGCTGTATCAGCAAACAAGTGTCGTCGTCCTTACATCGTTCACAGCGACTCACTCGATGCGTATTACGTTTGCTTAGATTAGCTGTTATTGGCTATTCCATCGAGTTTCGTTTTGTCGCTCTAAGAACTTTAAGTTTACTACGTTCAATGAAATACTGAAGGACTCTATGGCTACTGGAGAACTGGCGTGTAAACAATTTATGTTGTAACAAACTGTGTTTTTTTATGAAAGGGGTCCTTTAAGTGCATCGACGTATACAACGTGTAGTCCATATTAATTAAATACTTGTAAAAATGAGTGTTTTACAATTTTGGTCACCTACAAATTTTGACAAGTGATCCATGCTATTCTATATAAGGCTAATATGCCCCAGATCTCGGGCGGTGTCAGGGCGAAAGTTGAAGGTCGCGAAACTACACTTTGCGAACGCGCACGCGCCGCTGCCTCTCAGAGATACACAGAGGACCCCAAAATAATCGTACATTATTATTAATAACGACGTTTACTGAGATTTCATCTCGTCATTCTCGTAATTACGGCAAGGCCGCGCTCCACATCTATTCGTGTCATGATTTTACATCTAAATAATGTTTCCTTAATTGGCCAACTGGATTTGTCGAAACCAGTACCTGTTTGCAAGTACATAAATAACATATTATTATTATAGTTGACGTTGGTTATTCTCGTTTTTGTAATATTATTTAACATAGGTTTATTGTTATTACAAGGATCGGAGTAGATCCAATGAACATTCTTGAGTTTTAGAGAGGTGCATTAATATGAAAAATATTGGTTAAGAAATGTCATTTACAGAACTCGTTCGTATTTACGAGGTAAAGATACAACAAGGGCAGTATAATGGCAACACAAAGCGTTTTTATTTCATTACATCTATCGGGACATCGGGACGAGAACACAAGCAAACAATTTGTCGGTACCTACAGCATGAGACGTCCGAAACAAAATACCAGCGGTAGTTAAAATAGGCAAGAACAATCTTTCAAAATGTTTGTTAAAATTACTTACAAGTACTTGTACTGCGAACTTAGAATGAAATTGCACAAAACATTAATGTTTTTGCAGCTTGTAATAATTACAAAATAAATTAACTAACTTAAACGACAATGGTATTAGGCAAAAGTAGCATTTGTCATTATTGCATTGCACTTACTATGTAGAATTAGTGAATATTGTATGTGAATATTATGTCTACGTGTACGCACGCGTCGCTTTACAGTGAATAATACAATAATGGATATTTACATCACTTTGTAGGTTAAGTGTCGGTGTCGTCTCCAGTCGTTGCTTTTAAACTGAACCATCAGTTTCGGAATGGCCCTCGGTGGTACAGGCACCAGTGCGGTTCGCCCTGTGGCCTACGGCGCAGGCGCAGGCTAGGCGGTGGCCTCGGCGGCATCCGTTTCACATAACATGACGGAACTCACTCCGATCGGTAAAATGCCAACAAAAAATATCCGGCATCATTTGCGACGCTAATCAAAAAGATTGATTTGTGATAGTAACTGTATGACCCTGTTTACCAGTGCCTACCAGTGCCGAGACCGGAGCGCAATGACGCAACTGCCCCGGTGCCCGCCGCGGCGCACGAGAACTACAATATTTGGTCAACAGAGTAATAGTGTAACGTGCTGTAGCATAAGCCTGAGCCGTATTTTCCTTACTCACACCTAAGTCAAGGTAGTAAAGAAATTTGAAAACAATTGTCGTCACCGGCGTGCGCCATGTCGCTGAGCATGAATTGCTCTTGAAAAACGCTACGTGTATTTTCGTATATAACGTAACAATGCAGTTCTGTTCAGTGTTCAGTTCGTCGATATCATATCTATTTGTTACTCAAGCTTTAATCATATTATTTTAACTGCGTGTATTATTCTTCTGCAAATAGTCCACTTCGTTCAATTGTCTGAAATATAGGTCATACCGTATGCAAACGGACTCAACAGTCCGTCCGGAAAAATCAAATGCTCGGTCTTATTTAACCTGAAACTTGTTTCTATAAACGTCACTATCCGATTTTGACTTCTTTCTTGTATGTAAGTCAATATCTGGTTGGGTTTAATGAACCAAATTTCGTGGCTCCAAACTTCGTCACCAGAGCGTCGAAGGCCAGCCGGTAGGTCAAGCCGTTAAACCCATACTAAACACATTGTACCACTATGAAACAGCTTCTTCCGAATTAATATTTTTAAGAGCGTCTACAACACAAGGAAATGGATTTCCAACCTGGACATAATTATATAAGCACCCCAAATTTCATTAAAAAAAAAAACAAAAATTATTGCATCGGCCGGGAATCGAACCCGGGCCGCCCGCGTGGCAGGCGAGCATTCTACCACTGAACCACCGATGCTCACACCGGTAATTTGAAATTAGAATACTGGTCTAAACATAATATTATTACTTGATGACATCACCACTCTTGCGACAACCGTATCAAATTTAGAGAGATAAAGATATACTTATTTATTTGTAAGCGTACACGGTAAATACAGTTTACATTTTTAAGATTACACTTATAGTTCAGCGTGTTGCGCTAGTAACTGGCATACAAATATGAACAACAAATATACATTGTTCGCATTTATTCTTAAACTCATATTACTAAAATCATACCGTATTACATTACAAATATAATTTTTTTTTCAATTGTCTAATATAATTATAGAAGAAACGCATGTCAAAGTAATAAAGATGTAGTGAGTTTACATCATAAAAACAATTTATCACAAGCAATTCAAATAGTACCTTCTTAAATCTAGACGTAGGTAACATAAAAATGTTAACGATGTAAAAACATCGTCAGGTAAATACATTACATAATTTTAGGCATATGTTATAGCAATTCCTTTGAAAACAAGTAGTAGTGTGCAAATGTCATTATTATTTATTTACTTAAAAAAGGAACATTTTTTAAATAAATAAATAACTACGTTTTTTGACAAAAATACACATCTCGAATATAATGCAAGGAAGGAACAATATTTTTAGTTTTTTAAATAAGGGTTTGCAGCTATCTCGCATAGCAGCACCCCATATCGCCATTACGCATTTCTTCTGTAGGATAAAATCTCGACTTATGTGAACACAGTTACCCCAGACAACAATTCAATGCCGCAGAGTCGAACACACCTAACCGTGGTAGGCCATCATAGCAGTTTTTTGGACACAGATATTTTTATTCGGTAAATTGCGTACACAAATTTGTTGATTTTTTCACAAACTGCTTCAAAATGTTCTCTCCAGGTGAAATGTTTGTCGAGCATGATGCCAAAAAACTTCGTTGTGGTTCACTCTATGGGACCATTGTTGTGTATTGTGGAGAGTTTGGCAGTTATAAAAATTGGAGTAACCGAATAATGAACACTTAAAGAGCTTATTTTTTTAATGCGCTAGAATAAAATAATATCAGGTTACGGACACATCGCACCGAAGACGCAGGCCGGCAAAGTGGTGACAATCTTCTACGCCATCGTGGGCATCCCACTCATGCTGCTCTGCCTCTCCAACATCGGAGACGTGATGGCTTCTTCCTTCAGGTGCGTAATCAACTGAAACTTGTACAATGTAAGATTCCAAACCCAAAAAGTAAATGGTGCACAGAACGCCTGATTGTTATAAATAGTCATTAGTGCTAGAATGTTTTATTGCTTTGACGTTCTTGGCAAACTACATGTCAATAACTAGAGTCTTGAAAACGAAAGCTGGCACAACGCGTAATCTTTTTATGGCAGTATTTTATTTCTGTCCAAAGTACTTGACAATTCGGAAATAACATCGTTAAATTTTGCATTTAACGTGGGAAAAACAATAAAAAGCAATGCAGGTGTTTACAGATGATGTTTGTTATTTACCTATTAACAGAATTGATCAAATAAGAATGAAAAAACATTAAAGGAAAAAACAAAGATTTTAGTTGAGATTTACAGCCATTTTGATGTTTTTGTCATTTATTTTGATTTTACTTTTGTTCATATGTCTAATAATGTCCACCTTTTTGGATTTCGAGTATTGGGAGTCCGATTATGACTATAATTTACAAACTTAATTAATCCCAAGTAAGATATGTAATTAAAATAATAATAGAAGAATTTAAAAAAAATTATCTTGTCGGAAAGTGCGCGCCAATGCCCTGGCACATGGCAGCCCAATCACTCAGTACGGCAGCGGGCGCAGGTGGCGCGGCGTCGCCGTCGGCGAGAATCTACCCTCGTTTGCTTCATTTTTATTAAAGTCATATGCAGGATGGCACACTACTCTAACAAGGTCTCTTTCTAAAGTCTCGTCTACACTAACCACTGACGTAGTACCTAACACTGTTTTCCAGCCGGGGGTACCGACCATCCACTATCACGATTGAAATTCGAATGACGACCAAACTCTCCGCGGAAGGAAATGCTTTTCTCTCGCCAGTGCGGACACTTTATCAAAATGAATATAGTGCGTCGAGTCCAAATCCTATGAGTGTTCCGTCACTGCAGGGCCCTGATTGTCCCTGTTCTTAATACTACGTATGTGTTCCGTTAGTCGTGTGGATATTTTACGGCCGGTCGTTCCTGCATGACTTTAATAAAAATGAAGCAAACGAGGGTAGATTCTCGCCGACGCCGCCTGCGCCCGCTGCTGTACTAAATGATGGGGCTGCCAGGGCTTTGGCACGCGTTTTCCGTCGAGTCACCACCGCGGAATCTCATGATTAAGGACCACGAATTGGTTCGAAACATGCCGAGCAAAAATTCGACTTAAATACGTGAGTTATCAGTTATTTTTAGTTAATATGTCGGAGTCTCATAGTGGTTTTCTATTTAAAATATATTATCTTGTGTTTTAACTCAGTTTACTTTATGAATTCATTTTAATTTTAATAGTAATTTGTGGAAAATGTTGTTGATTGTACATTTTCTTGTGGTAGAGAAGTTCACAATAAATTTAATTTTACTACATGTACAATTGTTTGTTATCCATGAAAAATAAATAAATAAATGATGCATAATAAGTAAAAAACCGAGAATGCATAACTGTAGTTTTGTTTTTCATGGACACAGATAAACGTAGCATGTATCAATTTCAATATTGTGAAGCTCTACCCTGCAAGAAAGGAAGAAAGTCTCGCGCCTAATTTCTTTCTTCGTTAAATTCAATAACGGAAAATGTTTGTAATATATCTCATGTCATGATATATTAAATTTCAACTAAGATATTCTAACTGTCGTTGGCCAGACTTACATGTATTTCATCTCGTACGAAAGGAATCAATTCGTGGAGCAATCCTTGCGATTCTGAGACTGTTGTTGAAGAAATGCGGTGAGGTTCGAAGAAACACTGCGTTTGACTATTTCTCTTGAAAGCGCAGAGAATACTTTCTACATACATCTAAGTCTTACACGAGTCCCGCTTCCTCCGCGAAGTTCGTCTTCTATTTTTTGAAAATAATGTCAACATCTGCAAAGAATTTTAAACAAAGTCATGTATATAGAAGTATCTTTTAATGCATCGCCGGTGTGCAGATTCCTGTATTGGCGCGTGTGCTGCTACGTGTGCACGCGCCCGCCGAAGCGCCGCCACCGCCGACATCACTCCACCAGGTGAAGTTTTACATGAGACAAGTTCAATTCTTATTATGTGTTGCCTAATACTATTCGACCGCTGCGTGGCCCCGCAGGCGGTCAGTGCGGGGTGGCAGCGGGCGCGGCTCCACGCGAAGGCGCCGCCTTCCGCTCTCCGCACCTCAAACTCTCGAGCGCGCGCACTCTGACACTGACTGCAGGTACTTACCAATCGCATACGTACTCATATTGATTTGTTTGGGATAAAACAACTGCATTTAAAAGGTTCAATTACAAGTTCATATAAATAACGTAGATACCGCGACAGCGGCTACAGCAGCGCGCGAGCTCTTCGGCCGCGTCCGCCGGCGCCGGCCGCGGCACAGCGCGCGCCGCGCACGCGCTCGCAGCCGCCGGCGTTCAGCAAGTACCAGTCAGGTTCAAATACAAAGGCCACACTCTTGTTATTTTATAAAAAATCAAATCATTTATGTTATTTAACATTGTTGTGTCAGTACGTATTGCCTATTTTGGGGTATACAATTTACATAATTAAAATAATTTAACACTATATTATACTAAATTTTAATTACAAAATGTCAAATCTGAATTTTAATTTAATTTCTTAATTACATTAATGTCATTATTTTGCGTTAGTTAACTGATATTCTATGTTGTTGTCATTTAAGTAATCGCTGACTTTATAATATGCTTTCCTAGTCAATAAATTAAATAATTGCTTTTCAAAGTTGGCATTGTCGTTAGTCTCAAGTATATGATTAGCTAGGCAGCTTATTGTATAGTTTTGGCGCCATCGCACTAATATTATCATGAAAGAGTGTAGTCTTACAGGCAACCAGGTTCAATTTATTGTGTCTTCGTGTACTTTCCACTTTGCTGAAGAGTGTAGAATTTCTCCAAACAAAAATAACCGTTTCAAATATATATATTTAAGGAACTGTTAATAATCTTAGTTTTTGAAAGTGGGATATACAGCTGTCCACACGGCACAACCCACAAATTGCCAAATACACCTTTTTTTGTGCAATCGTTTGGCATTACCCCAGAACATAATACCGTATCTTATGATTGAAGTTACATATCCGTGGTAAGCCGTGAGTAATCAACTTGGCCTATAACTTTAAACAGTCTCCACAAAGCGTATGCAAATCTATTTATTCTCATACACAAGATTTCTATGTGTTTTTCCCATGTTATATTCTTATTATATTATTGTCTATGTATATTCCTAAATATTTTATGACTTCCTCCTCCTTCAATTTCGTATTCATGTTGCTTATATGTTATGTTGAGTGTAGGTATATTTTATTAATTTTGTGTTTAAAATGCATATACGCTGTTTTACTCAGATTAATTTGTATTCTATAATCTTATAATCAATTTACGTGTGGCGCACTGTAGTTTACGGAATGAATAAGAAACAAATACTATAAATGATCAAAAAATAATTTATTGTTTCTCAAAATATTTTCCGTTAGCGTTCATGTACTTTTTATACGAATGAACCAATTTTGAAAACATTTATGCCACTTCTCCGTGACAATCTCTGAAACATATTTTTCATACTCTTCGACAGCTTCTTCAGGTGATGAAAATCGTTGACCACGTAACTGGTTCTTAATTTTTGGAAATAAATTACAGTCACAAGGTGCCAGGTCGGGACTGTACGCGGATTGGCTCATAAGGTCAACGTTGTTCACCTTCAAAAATTCATTTATCTGTCTGACCGTGTGAGAACTGGCGTTATCGTGATGCAAGATGATACGGCGTTTACGGTTATTTTTACAAATGGTCGTGTTAAATAAAACTGCAGACACACACTAAAACAATATATTCTTCCCGAAAAACCAATACATTCCGTCGTCCGCCGCCATTACGGCCACAAACTACTGACAGTTCTCGTGCGTTGTAGCAATTACCAACTTATTTTATTAATAATTAGAATGAATGTTATTATAATCATATTCCTTATATGCAAATTAATGAAACATTAAAATAACTTCATTCCTATTGCATATAGAACAAAATAAACAGTATTTCATTTATGAAGAACACTAAAACGTAACAATATAATTTACTTAAGAGTCTTGCAACTTTAAAAAATATACTTAAAGTTATCATTCATTGTTATGTAATCTAACACTATTCACGGTACAACAATGCTTCAAAGCAACAGTAACTACGTGTCAAGTTTTATTTAAAAAAAGCATGGCATTGCAGGAAGTGACGCGATCCGTTTTTTGAGCCTCAGTCAAATTGTGTGGGATCCACCGAGAGCACAGCTTTTTCACACCCAAATGTTTGTGTAGTATTGATTGTATTTGACTCATGCCTATGCCTAAAGATGCCCGAAACTCATGGTATATCACATGCCTGTCTGTTTTGATCATACGGCGAACAGCATCGACGTTTTTGTTGTTCACAGCAATGGACGCGCGACCATCACAAAATTCGTCGCTGAGATTCACACGACCGTATTTGAATTCTGTAAACCAGCTATAAATAGTCGTCTTGCATGGTGCTTCATCGCCAAAAGCAGTCTATGAAGCCGAGTGAAGCTCCGCTGAGCTGTTACCTTACACGTAAAGTCGCAGAAAATCATACTATGAAAATTTTCACAAGTTAAATCCATGGTGATGTAGACAACCAGTTTCTAAAATGGCGCCACAATGTAAAAACAAGTGACAGTCAGATGAAACAGACTATTCTACAGCCAAAGAGTTCCATTTTCAAATGTTGTAATTACTTTTTAAATATTGTTTATGTAAGTGGCCAGTTCCGTAAACTTATAGTGCGCCCAATGTATTATAGATATTATTTCATTGTTTATTTCTTGGTCAAGTGTATTGTATTTCTCAATATCAAAAGTTACAGTACTATCATCCGCAAACATTAGCATAGGATATTTTGTAGCTGTAGGAAAGTCATTGATATATCAGGAACAATTAATATTTCTGTTCCGTTCATACTAGAGTGGGGTAATCAAGTTTTACTTTGCAGATCCGAAGGAGTTCCACAGAGAGAGATCCCCAGCGCGATTCGACAAACTCCCTCCCGACGATTATGAAGACGATGAACATAGTAAGTTTTTATTAGTAAGTTACGGATTAACTTTGTCTGTAACATTTACCATCAATGCTCTCTACTATTTACGTTTCAGTAGACTTTCCAAAAATATCTCTCCCACTTCAAGACCTCGCGGCAGCTCTAAAAGATTTAGAAGATCATCAAACGAAGACACCCAGGCAGGAGTTGCGTAGCAAGTCTTTCCCACATGTGGACAAACCGCGGGGTGAGCACGGCGCAAGCGCCGCCGCGGGTACGCGGCGGTGCTACGATGAGAGACGGTACTATGAGGACGACGAGAACATGCTCGAGATGCACGACCTGCAAGACGTCGATTATGAAAACTACCGAGAGAGGAAGGCGAGAGAGATAGAAGAACGAGAGAGGGAGAGACGCCGTGAAGAGCGAGACGATTTCGGCAGTCGGAGAGACCGAGACTACGACCCTGAGGATGATGATTATGAATTCAATGGACCGAGGGCTAGGAGAGGGTGGCCCGATCGCGATAAGAGGCAAGTTAAATTACAGAATTTACTCAAACTCAAATGCTTAATTAAATTTTAACTTACGATTGAATTTAAGACTATGACAGAATTATCCGTGTTAAACAATAAGATCATTGCCATTGGTGTTAAATATACAGGGTTATTTTTAAAATACCAACACCCCGCAAGACTGTATTGCTAACATCATAAACAACAACTTTTGTTCCTTGACTTTTTAGACAAAACATAACAATTTCACCAAAAACTTAAAAGTTTATATCTGTGACACTTTTTAAATCTGTATAAGGTATTCAGGTAAGTTCAAACGTGCACAAGCATGTGCAAGCGTCCTCCGCGACGACTCCTACCCCCGTCCTGTACAGAGTTAAAATAAAATCTGATGATTGAAAGTCATGGAACAAAGTTGTTGTTTATGATGTTAGTATTATAGTCCTGCGGTTTTAGTGAGGTATTTTACAAATAACCCTGAATACAGAGTGAAATTTTCCGTGAATTTAAAACATCTTATTACAAGGCCATAATTTATACCTTCCGACACAGGAACCGGTGTCGGTCGGAGTATTACGAGCGCGATCACGACGATTTCCTGTGGGAACGCAGAGGGCGGCGAGCGCGCAGCGCAGCCTGCGACTTTGAACGGCGCTTGGACATGGAAAGGGACGACATCCGGCACGGCGACGTCGAGACTGGCCGGCGGCGGCTGCGCCGCCTGCGCACGGTCGATGACACCACGAGACCTTATCGATATGTACGTTATTTGAGCCCCAAAAAATACCCCGTGGAAGTGAATATTTTCATTTTACAATGCAAAACGATAAACACTGCATCTGCGTTGCAGACTCCATCGCCAGACAGAGACGACTGGAGCGACGTAGTGGCAGTCGTCCCTCGGAGAAGCAGACCTCCAGGTGCTATACATATAACGAACAGGGTCAAGAGCACGTCAAGTGAGACACTTAAGAATAATTAGAATTAAATTCAATTCTATACCACTTACGATAAAAGCCGTCTAAATTGTCAAGCTTGATGTGCTTTTGCCTATAGGGTTCTTAAGTAATTTCATAACAACGACCTTAAATACTTTACATGATTTCCAGCTTGGGGACTGCGACATAATGAAGCTTATCCTATTCAGCAAGAATCACTTACCAAGGAGGAGGTACACAATTTCATGGCTAGTATTGGCAAGATGATACAAAAAATCAAGATTATTTCAAAACCTGTTTATTTTTGAGAATGTGCGAGATTGTTTTTTGCTGACGTTACTACGGTAGTCGTAGCGATAGGTTTTAACAAACAATAATACACGCAAAATAGGCGCCTTGAGGTCGAGTTGCTGGTATCCAGCCCGTTACACCAAGTACCAAAAACAATAATAGAAATTGAAGTAGCGGGCATAATGGTGACGATGATTGGACCACGTTTGATTTAATCAGTTCTGGTTCTATGCGTGCAGCTGAAGCCGGTGCCGATCTGGCTGTGCGTGTGCCTGGTGGCATCGTACATCGTGGCGGGCACGTTTCTCTTCAAGAGCTGGGAGCAGTGGGCGTACCTCGATGCCGCTTATTTCTGCTTTATTACGCTCACCACCATCGGCTTCGGAGACTTCGTACCTGCGCAGGTGCGCACATTTCTTTCTTTTTAAATGAGTTAACCATTTAACAATAATTGGTAAATATAATGTTGATAAAATTGTTCATTCAAGTCTAATTGTGACATTGACAATTGTAGTATTACATAGGTAAGTGCATTACCGCATCTTTGCATTAGCAAAATCAATATAATTGTGAGGCAATTGAAAATGTGTATGAAACAAACTTCCAGATATTTTCTTAAAAATTCCAGGCAGTTAACAAAAGGCTCTCGTCTAAGAGAACAACTTTGCGCTAATCCACTAATTTTCGTCCTCTTTCTCTGGGTTTGTAGTGTTTAATGTGAGAATGTTTCTCCCAAAAGCTCTTGTAAATTGTAATAGTTTACAACTGCAGCCTACACTATGTGGTTGTGGCAGGGGCAGCGCGCTGGCAATCCGGCAGACGCTGTTCATTCGATCGCATTGTGCTCGCTGTACCTGCTGTTCGGCATCGCACTGCTGGCGATGTCCTTCAACCTGGTACAAGAAGAGGTGCGCGCGAACGTGGCCGCGCTCGCTACGCGGCTCGGCATCATAAAGCCCAAAAATGTCGACGATTCCGACAGTGAATATTAAGGTTTTAATGTTTCTGCAAGTAATAAAAGGTATTTAACATGAAACAGGAGTTTGTTGCAACTAGTTCACTACTTTCCTTCTACCCCATAGAAAATAATAATATCTACTACAACCATATCGAAGGTGATAAACTATCACGTTTCATATAATTGCTGGTTATTGTAAGGGGTCGGGTGCCACCAACACCAAATACGGGCCATTCTTTTTTAAACCAGGCCCTGACCGATGCAGCGATAAAGGAATGTAACAAAGAAATAGTATTCAATAAAAAGAAAAAACTGTTGTTGAGGAAGCGGGAATTTACGTCATATTAAAATGTTATCTAAAAATTTTATTATAATTCTCCTTATCATAGCCGCCTTTAGTATTAAAATTTGTTAGTTGTTATCAAAATATTATACGCGTCCTTCTGATGTGAATTGTTGTGTATACTTTCAAAGATGAGAGCCCAGTAAAATGCAAACAGCCCGCACATTCAAAATAATAGATATTCCGATAACGTTATCTAAGATAATTGGATAATAGCCTTAAAATTTATCGTTCGATAAATTTCTTGATGCCAATAAATTGTTTAATAACTTATTTGTTTCATTCAATCAAGTATGTTTTTATATAGGTATGTTTGTATGTTTGAATGAACGAGCTTGTTTCTGCTACACGTCTATTTGCGCGGATGTTGGTGTAGTACGTTAGTGGTGTTAACAACATTTCAACTCTACTGATCTTAGTTTTAATTTCAGAGAGTGACTAACCATTGCAAACACAAAATTAAAGAAGCTTGCGCAACCATTACGAAAATCCAATGGGACTGGGGCACAAACTAATACGGGTGAAAAGTATAGTGTGCATTACACGTCCAAACAGCAAACTAATATTCGATAGTCAGCCGCGGGTTTCGTAGGATTCGGATTAGTCGAGTGTGTCTCTTCGACTACACAGCGAGACGGAGGCATGATGAACGCGGAGAAAGTTGAGGATGGACCGGGGCCAGGGCAGGCGCAGCCAGCGATCGACCTCGATTATATCCTGGTGGAGGAAGTAGGCCAGTTCGGCAAGTACCAACTGACCACGTTACTGCTTGCGGCAGTGCCCGTTATCTTCGCCGCCTTCGCTTCTGGAGAGTACATTTTTACCACCGCCAGAATACCATCTCGGTAGGTACCTACACATCGCAGTAACAAAAAATTGGTTCTATTGAAAGTTTTATATAGTAATGGAACGTAACCCATATAATTATTTTCGATGTTTTTAGAAGCTTTTATATAAATTCTCGTGTTCGCTTGGAAGTTTTTTATGATAGCATTAATACCTAATTTACATACGTAATTCATAAATGATTAATATTGATGACGTATCCACAAGGTAGATTCCCCGGACAAACTTTTAGACGCTCATATTATTATGTAAACATGTAACGTTTGGGCTCGTTTCAGTCAGCTCGAAGCCCTTGTCTCTTCTGGCGCTAATAACAGAGTTAAGGGAGTCCAAAGGAACTCCTCAATAGGTACATCTCGATGTTGTGAACTAAACATATAACATTTGGGATAGATTTGACCAGTTCGACTGAGACAGCTTAGAGACAAACACTTAGGTGTTTATTTCCCGTGTTACCCGTACATAACCAAGTTAATACCAAAAGGACTAGGTACAATTCAATAATAAGTAAAAACAAATTATTAACAGGCTTGTCTCAATTATTACATAAAATAAGTACTAAACAAATAAGTAATTATTCATAAAATAAACATTGTAAAAACTTTTGAAACGTGCAAATGCGTGATCGATTTTTTTCTACTTATCCATTATAACTACGTAATATAAAAGCTTGTTTAATTATCTGCTTGTAACGACATGTGGTAATTAATACATCGCAATAATTAAAAAATTAACAAGTAATCTGGTGACATTTGCAGGTGCAGAATACCGCAATGCGACGGTGAGACCCCGGAGTTTAGGCCGTCGTGGCTGCTGAACGCCATCAACGGAACGAGTCTGAACTCGTTTGACAACTGCGCCAAATTTGCCAACAGCACGCAACAGCATCCAGCACCCCCCGGTACCTGCCCCAATACACTCTTCGACACGTCCAGGATTGTCGATTGCGAAGCTTACGTCTACGAAAATACTCTTAGTGTAGTATACGACGTAAGTTATTGAAAAATTTTAGCTTACTTTCCAGATTAAAAATGAATACCTCGTTTCTGCAGCTCCTTTTTATGTGCAGTTCGATATGGCATGCGACGAATGGCGGAGGTCACAGATAGGATCGATTCGCACAATAGGTACGCTGCTGGTGCTGCCTATTACGGGCTTCATATCCGACCGCTGGGGGCGGCGCGTGGCGCTCACCATCAACGCTTTCAATACCGGTTGGATTGGGCTTGTGCGATCTTTCGTTAACAGCTACGAGTGGTTCCTAGCATTGGAAGTCATCGAGTCCACTGTCGGGGCAGGAGCTTTTTCGTCATGTTATATTTTGGGTAGGTATTATTATCAATGAAAACGATTTAAATTATAATCCAAGCAGCTGAGGAATTATTATTCTGTTTTTCTTGTTCCTTTACGAAGTGATGGAGTTAGTGGGACCCAAATATCGGGTTCCGGCTGGAGCGATGATATCCACCATGTTCGCCGTCGGGCAAGTCCTGCTAGGGTTTATCGCTTGGGGTGTTCCATCTTGGCGAGCTCTGACACGGTTGCTGTACGCGCCACAACTACTAGTTGTAACTTATTTCTGGATCTTATCTGAATCCATTCGCTGGCTTATGAGCAAAGGCCGTTATGAAGAATCTGAAACAATTCTAAAGAAAGTAGCGAAAGTTAATAAGAAACAACTGTCAGAAAAATCATTAGAAGCTTTACGCACTTCCGCCGAAGTGGAAAAGACTAGAGAGAAAGTCAAGGAACCATGGCTGGTGGTTAAGGTTTTCAAATCAAAATTGATTCTATTTCGGTGTATCGTGTCACCGGTTTGGTGGATCACCAATACTCTGGTGTACTACGGCATGAACATCAACGCCGTCAACTTATCTGGAAACCGGTACCTAAACTACGTGTACGTAGCAGCCATCGAGATTCCTGGTTTCTGGACAGCGGTGTTGCTGCTTGACCGTGTCGGCAGGAAGCCGGTGCTTATTTGCGGGTATTGGCTTTGTGCAACGTGCCAATTTGCTTTCGCGTTCTTGCCGGAGGGTGAGTGCTATTTGTGCAAAATAAGGAGATTTTGTTATACCTATACCTAATTAATCACTTTGCAGTAAGTCAACTTGCATTGTAACAGGCTACGAGGGGCTATCGTTGACGCTGTACCTGATAGGCAAGTTCAGCATCGCGATGGTTATGACGTCCGTGTACCTGTTTACGGCAGAGCTGTTTCCCACCAAGTACCGGCACACGCTGCTCGCCTTCGCTTCGATGATCGGCCGCGTCGGGTCCATTACAGCGCCGCTCACGCCTGCCTTTGTGAGTAAATTAATAATAATAATAAACTCATTTATTTTTTTTGAAAACAGTGACACATTTTATAATAAACTCAAACACAGTGCTAATTAACAAGACAAAACGATTTATGACTTAGCGGTCGCGGGGAACCCACGGCCCCTGTTATTTTGCCATAACCGTGTTGTAGCGGACTGTATCAAATGGGTGCTAACAACCAGTGCACAAGTCCAAGCAAATGTCCTTACAGTTTAATAATAATTTATTAGAAAACACGTATGTCGCTGAAGCAAAACAGCAAACACTAGCTAAAGTCAAGAAAAAGGCGCTAAAAACAAACAGATTTAAATTTAGAATTTAAATATAAAACTAAAATTAAAGAGACCATAAAATATATACAAAAGAGATTTGTAGCGACTGCTGCGATTCGCTACACATGTTATAGTATTGTAAATAGATATTTTATTTTAGAACATGGAGACTTAGCACGATTAACCCTATCAGTATCAGTACAATCCAAGCCCAAGAACCTGCTGTGTAAATAGCCATTCGCGACTATATCCACGAAAAGTTGAAAGTGTATCATTACATTATGGAGGCTTTTTTCATAATATTTTAACCGTGTTGGTTAAAACAACTTTGATACAAGTCTACTACTACTTTGACACATAATTTTATTGTGTTACTTCTAGGCGCAGGAGGTTTGGGAGCCGTTCCCGTCGGTGCTGTTCGGCAGCTTCGCTTTGCTATCGGGACTACTGATTTTCACCATGCCTGAGACATGGCGCAGGAAGCTGCCCGACACCTTCGAGGAAGCTGAGGCGCTCAGCCGTCGTTGACTGAAAAAGAACATCCATGACGATTCACTTCTTACATTTAAGTATCAGTAGATAAAATGTCTTAATTAGGCGTGCTGTTTCATTATACAATCGAATCTTTGAGAATTTTAATTATTTTTTTTATGAACGTTTTAAGTTTAAACTATCGACCAAATTCTGTTAACACCCATTTCGCTCTATCTAAATAAAATTTTTGAGGCTCAATACCATCTCAATACTTATTACCTTACATTTGATATCATGGTTGTGAGACATCCTGACATTAAATAAATTTAATTAAAAAGATTCTTGTTTCTAGGTGGCTATAATGACTTCATGAGTTCATGAGATTCTGATCCTCCGCTAAAGACTTTCGGTGGCTGTAAAAAGTGCCAAATGCAGAATAATAATAATACGAGTATTGCATCTTTAAATTTATATCACCAGATGAGCAGCTGGCCCATTTTCATTCATATCGTGGAGGCCATTGAATAGGTATACTTTCACTACTGCGACGACACGACCTTCTTGGCCCAAGCCTGGTACTGGATACGCTGCGACCCGCATCCAGACCGCTCGGGGTGACCCTTGGTTTTTACAGAGGTTTTCCTTCCTCGCGGTCCCTATCTTGATAATGGCGGTCCTCGCTGTCAGCCATGTGGACCGGCTTTGCAAGAATCGCAATTCGAAATCGAAATCTTGTAAATAGCTCTAGCTAGCGAATCCATCGTGAATCCAGTGGGTGACCTGGAAGAATTTCAAACACTGGCAGCGATTCCCCTACACGACGGTATTCGTATACGTCGTCTATGACATAAGCACAGAACATTTTTCAAAGGTAATATTTCTGAAAATCATAAAATGTTTTGCGCAAATA